AGAGAGAGAGAGAGAGAGAGAGAGAGAGAGAGAGAAATAGATATATATATAGAGAGAGAGATATATAGATATAGATATGGATATATATAGAGAGATATAAATCTATAGATAGATATAGATATAGATCTATATCTCTCTATATAGAGAGATATAGATATAGTCCTAAATTTTAGTTAAAAAAGGAGCAATAATGTTAAAATGATGCTGATGCATTGCATTTATAGGGGCACCTACAAACTATTTTCATATCAGTCTTTTAGTGTCAAGAAGTTCCATCAAAATGTGTGTTTTTCTTGAGGTTTCTAATTTGCCACTCCTCTGGTTTAGAAAAGTATCAAAAAATATTGACAGAATCTGTCTTTTGTTTTCTTGGTTGGTTTACTTTTAATTCCCCGCACACTCTCTCATCTCTCTCTGGACCTGATCCCTCACTTTAAAACATCATTAGGATAAATGATGTGTACTGCTACATGTACTGATAGAAACAGTTAAGAAACAACATGAAAAGGCTTATCACTGAAAAATGAGATGAAAGTGGAACCTTGTTTTGAACATGGGCTCTCGCATGTTGTTAGATCTCCTGAGCCATACCTTACATTTGCCAGGTGCAAGTACTCATACTTCTTTTTTACATTAATAGATTCTCACTGCTCAAAATGATTAAATCTGCTTTAAATCACGCTGAGTTATTTTAAAAGACAAGCTTAGTTAGTTTTTACATCTATCAGTCTGTGCTTATATGCATTTATATTCACAAAGTAAAGGTAAGCTTTTCGCTGCAGTTGAAAAAAAAAAGGATACACTACTTTACTGAAGTAAAATTATGTCCCAATAAAACAAAGCTTTTTCATAAAGTTGTCAAACCTCATGTGCTCTTAAATGAAATGAAATTAAATTAAATTAAAATTTCTCCCATGTTATTCTCTGAAGTTCCTCAGTATAGTGGGACATTTCAGATTGCCATTCTGGCATTTTGGACAGTCCATTGCCTGAAGGAAAATACAACTCATTAAATTAAACACATCAAATATCGTTTTTCCTTTACATGCATATGGAATTTAGATACATTGATAAACAAATTAAACAGTATATCTCAATAACAACAGTCATATAGTGCTTTCATATTGACAAAATATTTTGATGCCTAAAACTGACAAGGTCTCTGTGTTGAAAGCCAGTGTGCCAAAAAGGTTGGCGAAAGCCCCCTACAAATGAAAGTTTTGAAAGTGAATCCCTGACCGTCGCTTTCAATATGTCATCTAACCAGTCCTTCTGCCTCTTCCACCTTCTCCTTTTCACCCCCCCCCCCCCCCCTCCTCTAGACATTAGGGAGAGTGGAAGCCCCAAACCAGTGATGGTTTTCATCCATGGGGGCTCCTACATGGAAGGAACTGGGAATATGTTTGATGGCAGTATCCTGGCCAGCTATGGGAACGTGATTGTCATCACTTTAAACTACAGACTTGGCGTCCTAGGTAAGGATCCTGCAATGAGTGACCATTATTACTGTCGTGTTGTGTCGTGTCTGTTCTTCCTTTATTTATGCCTTTTGTCATGTTGAGTCCATTACATTAGCCTTAAAAAGACGAAGACCAGGGATATCTTTATTTCTTTCTTTTCCTTTCTTTCTTTCTGCCTTCCTTTCTTTTTTTGGTCTGTACATTGTTCTGGCTCAAACTGGTATTTCTTGCTAATATCTGGTCTCATTTCTTTGTTGATTGATTGCGATATTTCCAAAGACTGAATTTGAGCTTTCTATGAGATGATTGCTTTTCATTCTTCCTTGACTTTGACGCTAAAGTAGGCAGGTGACAGGCATAGTAGTACAAAATGTTTGTGCCATCCCTTTTATGATCCTTTGCTCATCTACGTATTTGTTTAAAGTGACATGTTGATTGCATCTCTGCATAGTTTGAACCTGGTTATCACTCTGCTGTACATCTCTTGCCTCCTTTCATATATAGTTAGTACAATGGATTTTCAGTCCCTCTTGTTTCTGGATATCTCAGTTTTCTGTCTCCCCTGTCTTATTTTTTTCTCATCAGAGTAATTCCTAATTCCTTTTTCCTTCTTTTAGATGTCACTGCCACATGATAGAAACAAAGGTGTGCTGAATGAGATTATGCTGTCATGGAATGGATCGCTTTCATTTAAATGCTCTTTTGGTTTATGGGGTTTTCACCCGGTGTGATCAACGGATAGCAGAATAAAGACACAGGGCAATATCCGCCTTTCACTCAAATATATATTAAAAAAAGTTTTCTTGGCATGTGTGTGAGTGTGCGTGCATGTACAGCTATGTGTTTGTGTGTGTCAGGGTGTATTTAGCGAATTAATATAAATGCTCACATAATATTCTTTGTGAAGAGCTGAAACACAATATCAGTGAAATATTAGTGTGATCTGCAGGTGGTCTGCATCATCTCTGTAATCTCAAAATTATTCACTCTGATATTTTACATTAGTTATATTTTAATGGGAAATACTAAGACTGGCTGAAAAACCTGTTGCTTTCTTACAGACGTCCTAATGATACCCAAAGATCAACAGTGGTACTAAAATTCTTGACAGCTAGAAGTCAGATAATTAATATACATATATGAATATTTAAAAAAAAAGATCTAGTGATTAGATATGCAGCCTTCCTATCCACCCTAAAGTTTAGCTTCATTGCAGACTATTACAGTTTGTAGAGACACCATGTGTATAAAGTACACATACTCTACATACACTAAAAAAAAACAATTTTGGCTTTTTCTGAACTCCACACTCCAAAACCTGCTGTTCAAAGCTGAAATCTTGGATTTCCCTGTTATGAATAAACTGGCGTAGCCAATTCAAACTCTGTTTGCAAATAACATTTAAAGCTTTAGATTATAGTTATAAAGCATTATGGAAATTACATAAGCAGCTGAAGTGTACAACCACTTCCAAACATCAAAAGCTTGAGAAAGGATAAAAAAGGCAAGTATGGTGAGAGTAATCCAGCCAAAGATCAGTCAGTTACATTTTAGAACATTTAAAATTATTTTAAAAGTGGTGAAATCCTCAGTCCCTTAGGCATTCCCTCCTCATTCTTCTCTGTTTTTTCCCCTCCGTTCCCCACTCGCCCCTTTTTCGTGTGCAAGCTCTTAACTGCTCCAAGCCTCATAGTGTTGAGGGAAAGTGTGTTCCTGCTGGTTAACATGAGGCACTGCTGTTTGCTCTCAGATTAAACTCTGTGTGTTTGTGTTTACCCCCCTGGCAATGGGCAAAAGTGTGCAGCTTTACCTTACCCAACCTTCTAGTGGGCTGTGTGTGTTTGTGTGTGTCTGTGTGTGAATGACAGTAGATATAGGACTCATAATCAGTGGGCTTGTGGGCTTTCCATTCAGTTATCCAGTATAATTGAGTACAAGTTCTGTGTTGGACTCTAAGTTGTTTTTCTTTCTCACTGTTAAGAGTCAGAGCCCACACGGCTCTGACACTTAAATGGGAGTTCTTCCTCTCCGAGGTCACCAAGTGCTTTTTCAAAAGGGGGACGCAGTAATATTGCAGGGCCTTAAGGTTACATTATATAGTACCTTGATATTACTGTTGCTGTAAACTGTGAACTGGATATATTAATAAACTGAATTGAATGTTAATGTTTCATTGGTCCAGACATGATGTATATGTATTATGTAATCAGCAGCCTCTTTAATTAAAGTCAGCCGACCACATGTTCGTAATATGAATAAACCCGTATATTAGGTATGATAACTAAACATGTGTTTGGTTTAACATTTGGTATGGGGGAAAAAAAAGCTCTTTATTAGAGAATGAATACAGGAGTTAGTGAAAGATATTACACATCTCAAAAATTAAGAAGGACTAGGAAACAATGTTTGTTTAAACCTTTTATACCTACTAACATTTACCAGGCTCTCAGCATTATTATTATGTTCTCTAGTTAGCCAGTTGGCCAATGTTGGCTAAAGTGTGGGACTGACCTATACGGACGATCGTGGCTCAAGAGTTGGGAGTTTGCCTTGTAATTGGAAGGTTGCTGGTTCGAGCCCCGGCTTGGACAGTCTCCGTCGTTGTGTCCTTGGGCAAGACACTTCACCTGTTGCGTACTGGTGGTGGTCAGAGAGCCTGGTGGTGCCAGTGTCCGGCAGCCTCGCCTCTGTCAGTGCGCCCCAGGGTGGCTGTGGCTACAATGTGAATGTGTGGCTGTAAAGCGCTTTGGGGTCCTTAGGGACTAGAAAAGCGCTATACAAATACAGGCCATTTACCATTTACCTTGCCCAGCCAGCCATTGCAGCACCTGTTTGCTTGGAGATGCTGCTCAGCTGACAGAAATCCCTACCCTCGCTCCAGTGATTTTTCTCCTTGGTTTAGTGTGTTTGTGTGTGCAAGTGAGCACTACGAAGGAAACCATTAGCGGCTTTAAATATGTAGAGCTGCTGGCGCGAAGCTGTATTTATGGGTTAAGGGCCTTGGCTGCAATGATTTTGGCCATGGGGCATGCATATAGTATGCTACTGTCAGTGTGTGTTCATGGGTGTGTAGGAGGTTGTGTGTTTAATGAATGAGAAGTTTCTCCAGGGTGCAGATCGGGTGTTTATGAAACACATAGTATAGTGCTATCAAAGTGCCATCTCAGTCCCCCTTGGTTTATAATCAGAAGTCCTGCTGTGAGGTTAGTTTTGGTTTGAATTGTTTGGAAGTGCTTAAGAAGCTAAATGCTCTATCACAAATATGGTATGATGTTTTTTTTCCCTTTAAAGTGAGATAATATTCTGAAATTTGCTGGATATTATCATATAAAATCTTGCCTTGTCATAAAAACATTTCGATTCCCATCAGTGTCCCCAGTGAATAAAACTTATATAGGGGATTGTTACTGAGCAGTTATGAAACTGTCACACTGAGTTATTTAATATTGTTTAATCCCAGATGTCTATCATACTGGCATTGTGACAAACACAGAGTCACAAATGTTGACTGCATGTGGTAATATGTGAGTTTTAAGCCTCCACGCTTGGCTGTTGGAGTGCTGAAAAGCGGACTGTGCCTTTAAGGCCAAGCCCTCACAGTGCGGAGTTTGTTTCAGCCCAGCCAAAACCTTTAATCATGCTGATTGATGAGGTGCATTTCCCTGACTCAAACCTTCTCCAAATACCCCTTCCATTCCAGCCATACATCAGCCATTCAGCCAATTCATCAAGCCTCTGATTGTTTTAAGATATACCTGGCCAGTAAAATATCCATTTCTCTGCATGCTACTGCTCCTCTTACTTTCAGCACTGATCAAGCCTATAGAGACCTGGCATGAGAAAAGGACCGACTAGCAGAATATAGATGTTTTAAAAACATGTTAATATAATAGTTCGATAATTATGCATTTAAAATGAATCCATAAATTGATCCATTTGTCAATTCTTCCATTTATTGTTTTACTATACTAAGGTTCATAATGACTATGTGAGCTCCGTGACAAATTTTAAAGATAAAGCAACCACAAAATAAAACAAAAAAATTAATAATAAAGAAAACATATACAGGACATTTTTATGAGCCTAAACATTAGCGCTATCGTTAATTATTTGATCAGCAGCGTAGTTTAGTCCAAACAGTCCCAAGATATGTGCTGAGAAACTTTACTGATTGCATGCTTGTTATTTTTTCTGCATGCTGCACACATTAGGAAATCCACAAATATCAGATTTGGCTAGCTAGTTATTTAAATTAGGACTGTGTGCATTTCACACAGGCATTTCCCCTAATATTTACCTTCCCAAATAATGCTCGCTCTCTCGCTCCCTTTTTTTATTCTAATATATCTTCTTTTCTTTTCCCCTTCCACAGTAATTGGACTTTTTCTTTCCTGTTAGTTTTTGTCCTGCCGGCAAAGTGTGGAGGACTATTATTTTCATGCTTATTAATTTCTTTCTCCCTGAAACAAATACTCCAATGATTTAGGTTCATTACTCCTTTTGCGCCTCTTTTCTCTACCTTCTCCTCTTGCTAGTACTCCTGACACAGCTTTCTCAAAAACTCGAGAGCATCTAATCTTTAAACAAAAGTGTTTGAGTTCTCATCCATGTGTAATGATTGCTCCACCTGCAAACATTGGTATTGCTATTAGTTCTCTTTCATTTTGTCTCACTTTTCTCAGGCTTTCTCCTGAGCTAACAATAAACACATTTTCAAAAAGTCCATAGCCATTACCTGTATGTGTGCAGATATTTGACAAGGGCTTTTGGGAGGGGCAGTTGTGAAGCTTAATCCTCGTATGTAACTAAGGGAGTAAACGTTTCAGTAGTAGGAGTTGTGGAAGTCCTTGCAAAGCTATTCAGCACTATTAAGCCATTTTATGTACAAAAACTTTTTTGCCATAAAAGCTTTACTGTGTTGTAATGCTTGTAGTTTTGTATCCTGGACACTAATTGTCACAAGCTCTCTCTCTCTCGCTCTCTCTCTCTCTCTCTCTCTTTCTCTCTCTCTGTGTGTGTGCACATAGGCATATTTAAATGCATCATCAGCAGTCCTTTGCCGTACTGCTTGGATGTTCTTTCTTGTAAATTTGCCAAATAGGGCTCAAACATTTCCTCTGCTATTTTAGGGCAGAGAAGGCTTTGATCAGTGGACAGACTGCATTGAGACATGTTGTACTATTTGCTTCAATATTTCCCAGTTTCACTGTGCTACCCGCTGCCAAGATCCCAGCATTTCTGAGGAGAAAGCTAGCGAGCTGACAAGACAGATGACATGATTGGAAATTATGACTTTCTATCCTTTTGGTGTGAAATCAGCCCAGATGTGCCCTTTGATTAAAGTGCAATCTGCCCCGATCTGTGTGGTCCAGTATTTTGCATGTTAATTTAATTGCTGATAGTGATACTAGAGTATTTCTTTTTCATTTTGTTTAACAGAATACACGTTCAGAAAGAGAATTTGTATTAATTCCTAAACTGTTTTGTAATCAGGCTGCCTTGTACTGGCGATTTCTATACTGTACCATTCGAAATGGTTTTTTTCCCCTTGGTAAGAACTGTGTGTAAACAGTAAGTACTGAAGAAATCGCAAAATAACAGCAAATATTTACTGCATCTGTAATACTTGTGTGGACGTTCATTAACAGAACCAATTAGATCAGGTTAGCAAGTTTTAGTTGAAATTGCTAGAAGTATTTCAGTCATATGAAAATCATTCTTTTTTTGTCGTTGCACTGGACTTATGTTGAAGTATTCTGGTTGTGAGGTGAGCTGTGTATGTCAGTGCTCAGTTTGCTTTTCACCTACTCATTTGGCTGAGTTTTTCTGTGATTTATTCATGAGTGAGCAGCAATACTAATGGAAGCTATGCTATGCTAATGGTGATCTGGCAACAGCAAGGTTGGCGATGCAAGGTTACAGCAGCTTTCCCGATGCATCACGGATTGGATTAATCTAGCCAAGACTTGGACAACAGTCAGCCATCTGGGCATGTTTAACAACGCCAGGTTGCTCTAGCCAGAACCATTGCACCTTGCCACCAACGCACCTCACAATAATATGCACGGTTCATGGCTACTAATAGCTACAGCCTTTATGTGAGCTTTCACCACATAGTGTTTGGAAGCATTCCTGAAATTGATCAAACATGTGTAAACTCTTGTTGCTGGTTTCATTCAGGCAATCACGGTGTTCTAAACCCTGCATCCTGCACCCTTTTTTGAGTACAAATTAATACTTTTACAAACTTCCATATCCTAATCAGCTTTTAAAGTTTTAAAGTTTAAAGTAACTAAAATCCCATGTAATACAACTCTTTAATACACAAAGTGCTCAGATCAGAAGAGCTAAAATGAAACCAGTACTTAATTCTTGCATGTGCATGCTTCCAGTCCCTGATACATGATGAAGTAGCAACGTTCTCACTCTCCTCCACTGCTTTACTGTCCAATGGAATCAATTATACAAATACTAAACATACTAACACCAAATATACTAACTGGAGTGAATATTTTTAAATGTAGTAGTGTACTAATTCTACTCATCTAAAATATACTAACTGAATTGCAAAGTGTGCTTAATGTATGGAAAAACTGTGAGCTTTAAAATTATTTTGAGCTTTGTTTGCTTTCTACCTCCATCTTACTCAATGAGGCGTGAATGCTAATGTCTGCTGATGTCTGAATGCTCATACAGCTAACCTCCCAAGTAACTATTAACAGTAATTAAATGTAGCACACATACACACACACACACACACACACACACACACATATACATATCAGTATGAGCTTTCAGACTAAGCAAGCTCTTTTCATTTCCTCCTCATCCTTTTTTGTCGCTTCTTTGTTTTCTTTGCACATTTTATGCTTGGATTTCTTTTGTTCTGTGAGATCAATAATCAAACCAAGCAGTTGTGTTTTTTACCCCCCTCGGTGTTTTACAAAATGTCCTGTTTCAGCTACATGCTTTAAAACGATTTACTTTCACAGCTGCTTTGATGGTGGCTTGATGTGTCTATATACCTCTCTGTATTTAATAATTATTTATTATTACTCTTTGGCTCTCTTCCACAGTGTGTCTTTTATACTGTCCTCCTCCCATCACCCCCAACCAGTCCCAGCAGATGACTGCCCCTCCCTCACCCTCGTTCTGCCGGAGGTTTTGTCCTTTTTAAAGGGAGTTTTTCCTTCCCACTGTTGCCACGTACTTGCGCATACGAGGTTGTCTAATTGTTGGGGTTTTTACTGTATTATTGAAGGGTCTTTACCTTACAATATAAAGCATCTTGAGGTATTTGATGTGATTTGGCACTATACAGTACAGATAAAATAAAACTGAATTGAACTGGCTGCATATTGAAGAGTTTGACCAGATGCTGGGCTGATGTCGTCGTCGTTGTTGTTTTTTACTCTAAAATCTATTTGAATTTAAGTTACATCAATCAAATTGGATTTGACTGGATGACTGATATGACTCTACAGAGTTGGATTCCTGGGCATACTGGAATTAGTTCTGACCAGATTTGTGGTTGTATTTCACATGGACTCTTGTGTTAATACCACTGTTGGTCTGTCTGAGACAGCTGATTGGTACAGATTG